CTTATAGTCACAAAGCCAAAGACCTCCAAGAGCACGTTAAGGGTATGGCCATTCCCACAGAACAGTGACCAACCAAAAGTGGTGTTCATTGTTTTATTCTTAGACCGTTTATAGAAGACTTAAGGAAAGGGCTCCTGCCCACCCATTCTCCACCACAGCCTTCACCCTCAATTCGTTTCAGACCTTCACGCTCAGCACTTCCCAAGCCTTCCTCCAACAATTCGGGCACAAACAGACCAGACTGATGTTATTCACTCGCAGAATAATGACAGGTGAATTACAGATTTCAATTCCAGATTCCTCGGTTCATTTCAGTCGCATCTTACTCCGATGCAAATCACATTCCTTCAGTAAAGCCATTAAGTTGCTCTGCTTACAGCGCTAACCCATTAACCGCTCGCTGCCCAAACTTTGCTTTTTGGGGGCTTACCTGGCACGTAACAGATTTGCCACAGCAGAGCTTCCTTATGGGACTATAAAACTCTTACTCCCTTGGCCACCTCATAGCAGTTATCGTATTTCTTCCCAACAGCAGCTCCATTAGAAGGAAACTCGTAAAAACCAATAACTAGTAGTGCCCACTGTTTTCTAAGTAAGCAGCATGGGGGGCAGTGTTCCCGCTCTAGGGAGGACCGCTTGCTTAGGTTGTGAGAAGTAAGTGTTTGATTCTCTCCTTTGCCCCTTTCTTCTCCCTGGAATGTGCTAGACAAGAGCATGGTACAGACAAAAGATGAGATTCGCTCTCTTTCACTGACTTAACTCCTCTTGGACATTTTTCTGCACCGCAGCAGCACATAATCAACAAATTCCCTGTAGCACATTCAAAGGGACGTGACTTTCAGCAGGGGTAAAGGTAGCACGCATTTAAGTCTCTTCAAGTAGACAGGAGACTCGAGCATGAATCAGTTACATTTCCCCAGCAGCTCCTTTATGCACGGGTACATAAAGACTGCACCACTGCAATCTGACAGCCACCAGGTTGGAAGCTAGCAGCACACCATCCTTGGTTTCTAAAGACTGCTCATAAATAGCCAAATCACTTTAAGCCAAGATCACAGAAAAAAAAAGGAATAGGGAAGCAGAGATTGAACCCAGATCTTCCATAGCATCAGCCAGCGCCTACAAAACCACTCTGCTTCTGAGCCCTCTAGCCCCTTGGGTCTTACAGTCTCCATAGGTTAAAAGGAATGCAACCCAAAAGCAAAACTCATAGAGTGGAAAGATGTACGTCTTCCCCCAGTCTCTTAACAGTTGTTTAACGTTCCCCAGGAGCAACTGGCCACTAGCCCGAAGTTCCTGCTCTCCATTCCCAGCTGTTTATCCCTGCCCACTGCCAAGCCTACAACAAGGTCTGCATGACCCACCAGCTCAGCTCTGCTAACTTCAAGACTTAGAGCTGGATCCCCAACTGCTGCACATCACTTGAGCTGAAGTTGAGCTTTCTGATCTACCTCCTTCTCCAGTTTAAATTCATCTCTGCCGATTCCACCAAATCACAAGGTCAGTTCACATCTCTCGGGGAACGCTATTGCCTTTGGTGCTACGGTCATCATTCAGGCGTCTTTCTGCAGCAGCCCACCCTTTGCTCCACCATGGAAGGGGGACATGGCAGCTGCCACTGGTGGTGGGACTCGGGTCCTCCCAAGGAAGCCTTCCAAGAGACTCTGCTCTGCAACTGCAGCTTATCACCTTCGCTGTTGGCACAGCAGTCTCCGCCGTCAACTTACAAGGCATCAGGTCCTGGTGCATTTTAAAATACCCCCTCACCAGTCACTGTGTTTGCCTCCATCCTCTCGCAGAGCCACACCTAGAGGAAACAGCCAAAATCTGGGAAAAGACTAGGGAGGGCTCAGCTTCAGCCTCCCTTCATTTGAGGAGGGATTTCAAGCATCTCCTGCCGACACACTGATGGAGGGGAAGCTGCCAGCAGATCAAAGAAACCGAAGTTTCTCCACATCTTATCCCTGATAAATTTTGTACTCTTAGCCGCAATCACAAACAGGCTGCAAATAAACTTACCTTGGTTCCAGCTCTGGACATTTTCCGTTCCAGCCAAGCTCCCCGATGCTGGAGGAACGTCAGAAGCTGTTACAAACAGCCAGGATCCGAGGCACCCTTTTTATAATGGGCTTGTTTTAAACCAGACAGCCGCTTTGTCATGAGAATAGGATCCAAAAATTGAGTCAGTGATTCTGAGGCTATAGCCGATTTCCAGAAAAGCAAACAGGATTATGGAATAAAGGAAGGCTTCGCCATCCTCCCTTTGTTACCATTTGCTGAGTCAGAACACCAAAACTCTGCCAAACGCACTCAAAACACGCAGCCCCCTGCCAAGTCCTGGAGGATGGGGGGCAATTTGGCTGCTCT